CTAAACATAACACACCGTGTATATTCCAATGACTGTAATGTCCGAATCTAACAAATGCTGTCAAAGGGCGTGTTTATATAGGCTAATTTACCGCCAAAATGTAACATGATAAGAAAAGCAAGAAAAGTGAGAAAGTGTGGCGTGGAGCATAGCATAGAAGTATAATTTTCCCGCCTTTCTTATTTTTGGCGGGAAGTTATTATGTACAAAGACGAGGAGCAATAACATATAGCTCATTCATTGATAATAAAATAAAATAAACAAAATAATCGTGTATTTCACGACAGTGGTCCGCTGAATTTTGCTTGTCCGGAGCATAACTTAAAGACTAATGTTTGGAATTCAATACAACTTAATACAATGGTCAAGCACATTGAGAGGAAGTGAAGTGCACAAAAACTATAACTCCATCTTCACTAATTACATAGTTATTACGCTTTGTTACTTTTCCTTGTCCGGAGCATAACTTGAAAACTACTGGTTGGAATTCAAAACAACTTCATACAATGGTCAAGCATAATAAGGGAAAGTGCTGTGCACAATAACCATAACTCTATCTAAAGTAATTACAAAGTAATTGCCCTTAGTTACTTTTCCATTGCTTTCTTTTGTCCGGACCATAACTTGAAGACTAGTGGTTGACTTCAATATAACTTCATGGTCAAGCATATTGAGAGGAAGTGCAGTGCACAAGAACCATATCTCCATCTTGACTAATTACAGAGTTATCGCCCTATGTTACTTTTCCTTTTCCGGAGCATAACTTAAAAACTACTGATTAGAATTCAAAACAACTTCATACAATGTTCAAGCACATAAGAGAAAGTGCAGTGCACAAGAATCATAGCTCTATCTAAAGTAATTACAGAGTGATTGCCCTTTGCTACTTTTCCATTGCTTTATTTTTGTCCAGACCATAACTTAAAGACTAAATATTGGAATTTAATACAACTTTATACAATGATCAATCACATTGAGAGAAAGTGCAGTGATTACTAACCATAATTTATTTTTGCAAATTACAGAGTTATTGCCCTTTGATACTTTTCCTTGTCCGGAACATAGCTTGAAAAGTGCTGGTTGGAATTTAAAACAACTTCATACAACTGTTAAGCACAATAAGAGGAAGTGCAGTGAATAAGAACCAACACTCTGTCCAGAGTAATTATAGAGTTATTACCCTTTGTTACTTTTCCATTGCTTTTTTTTGTCAAGAGCATAACTTGAAAACTACTTGTTGGAATTCAATACAATTTCATACAATGGTCAAGTATATTGAGAGAAACCATAACTCTTTCTTGACTCATTAAGAGTTTTTGCCCTTTGTTATTATTATTATCCAGTGCATAACTTGAAATTTGATGGTTGGAATTCAAGGAAACTTCATAAAATGGTCAAGGGCAGTGAGATGAAGTGCAGTGCACAAGAACCATAACTCTTTTTGGACAATTACAGTTATTGCCCTTTGTTACTTTTTGTCCAGTGCATAACTTGAAAACTACATGTATTGATAATATTTGTCAAACGTTTTGGGTCATGACAAATTTGAATGAACTTCTATTAAAACGTAAAGCGTGATCTTAGGCGTCATCTATGTGTGCTAGGAGGCGTGAGGGAGGTTGCACATTTTCATTATCCCTTATGTACAGACTCAATCAAACCGAATCTGCAGTTTTCGTCTGGTTTTGTTGTTTTTAATGCTTCGGAGGGATCGCCACTTTTCTCTTATAAATGTATAGACTTGATACATGTGCAAAAATATGTGCAGGTTTAAGATTGAACAAAAAATTGTATTGAATGCGGCTTTAACTTCAAGTTACACAAGCCATGCTTAATATTTTCTTCAAGCTCAAACTGAAACCAAAGAAGTGCCTTATTAATACAAAAACCCTCATAAGTGAACTTAATGATTTGACATTATTTATGTATCAATAAAATCAGCGGTACTCGACGCTTAAGACTTTGACATTATTTATATGAAACTCCCATGGATTTATCGTTGTTAAAATGAGCGCCTATCTTGTCCATCTGTTGCTTCAAATATCAGAAGTAAGCACTAAAACTATGAATGTCTATTTCAAGTTTATTTTGAAGTGAAAGCAAAAAGACGAACATACAAGTTGATTGTGATTTGTTCTGTTAAAATGCCAAATTTTCTTTTTCTCTGTTCAGTTATGTTTGAGAGTATGTTCTACATAAAGCATTAAAATTGATGATATAACCCTAACAAATAGTTAAAATAAAATGAAATAAAAGAAACTTAAACAACAAAATCTTTACATAAAGAAAAAAAAATAACAATAAACAATTTTACATAAGTATCTATATGGACACAACAAGAAATACTATCACAACAATAAAACATTATATCTAATAAAAATTTAATAAAATCTAATAAAGTTTCTTTTTATCATAATTGAATACATGTATAATTGAATATAAGAAAACGAGACTGCCATCATTGCAGTAAATTGCTGAGATAAATTCCACTGCATTTGAGTAAAATAAATACGAGTTTGCTAGACAATATATAGACAAAACTAAATGTCTCGTGCTTTGCAAGAATAAGTTTAAAGATTTTCCCTTAATACACGCATGTAAGATAAAGTGCCCAAAGGGCGAGACAAATTTTTACCTTATGAACTGAACAAAACAGCAGACATTTTCACAAAAAAATCTTACGACAATTTTTTTGTTGTAAGAGAAATCTTACGATAAATCTCCTTTTCACAAAAAATCTTAAGATAATCTTAAGTGCAAAATCTGTTGTAACTTTACGAAAGGTCTTCCCCATTCGTAAGTGTAACTTTTTCTCTCTTAAGGGTAAAATATGATGTATCTCGTACCTAAACTGAAAAAAAAAAAAAAAAAAAGTTGGAGGACAACTAAATATTAAGCAAACAGTATGCTATAAATAACACAAATTGAGGTATAATTATTTTTCAACATATACATTTGTGACGTCATGACTTCATGACGTCACGATGGAGAGGGTTATGAATAGTTTAAAATAATGTGAACTATACTGTAGACTAGTATTATTTTAAAACTTATAATTTGTACAATTGGTGAGTTCGATTTCATTGCCAGCATGTACTAGTGGTACCTTTTTATTTATCAATAACATAGTAGACCTTCTTTCTGAATCTTTTAGATATATATAATTATCTTCAATCAAGATATAAATTATATCAGTTTGAATCATTTTTTTTTGTTCTTATTGAAATTAGATTGTGTTCAATAGATATTTCAAGCTCTTGGTTACTTGATTTTAAAACCGGAATCAAATATAGAGCATACTCATCACTATCAAATGAACATTGCTAGGGATGTTTTTGTCGTAAGATTTATCGTAAGTGAATTTTTTATCTTAAGATAAATTTAAACTTACGAGTGGCTTTGTGAAAATGTCTTAAGATTTAACTTACGACTATCGTAAGTGAAAAACTTAAGATAAATCGTAAGATTTTTTTGTGAAAATGTCTGCTGGTCTACTACACAATGCTACACAAAAAATACTACTATAATGCATTCTATTTAAAAAAAAGTTTGTGTAAAAAAACTAGTGATCCCCGAGGCGTAGCCAGGTTGGTCCCAAGTGTCAGGAATTAAGGCACACAAATTACGATTTGAATAAACTTGTTAAGGGTCGACTGCACATTTGATAGGCTGTTCCCAACCCACTCCGTTTCAGTGACAACATTTGTTTGCTATGCTGATACGATATTCAGTAAATTAAGCGATAACATTTAAACATAACATTATTATCTCATCTTTAAATTAACTTACATTCATATCCTGTCATGATTGATTGTTTATATGTTATATATATGCCATTTATCTTCAAAATCAAATATTGTCTGCAATAAGTCCGCCATTTTGTTATCTATAATTATATCGTGACGTCACTATTAACCAAGTTTTTACGGGGAGCCCTACTTTCATTTTGACGTAATGTTCACAAAGGAATCATATAAATAGACTGAATTTTAATTAAAAGGGTAATAACGGAAAAGATAATTGAAAAGATAACGAAAAGTGATAAATGAAAAGATAGCAGATAAAAATTGAAGAAAGCTTAAAAAACATTGATAGAAAATGAGAGATAATGAGTTAAAGGTATGATAAGAAATATGTATACTTTTGTACATGTATTTGCTAATTATTAGAGTAAAACGAACTGCAATTAACCGGTTTCATTTTGCGAAACACTTTGGCAGAGCTTCATTCAATGAATATAGGTGAGTTTAATAATTTCATGCAATGTGGTTAAAGAGGAAGTTTCATTTTAAACAATTGTAAATGGTGGTTTGGCGAAGGGCAAAAGAAAGCTAACAATGTTGCTCTGTTGGGTTTTTAAAGTCAGAATGACATAACGACTTGAGTTTAGCTTGAGTGCCGGAGGAGTCTCAGGTAAAATATTTATATCAGTAATCAAAGTATATTTGTCAAATCGCAAATAAGTAAGCACATTATAATAAAAAACTAATTCACAAAACATATTAAGGTTATTATAGGGGCATGTAATATTTTCATAATGACAAAAATGAAAGCTGTATAAAAGAGCTTGTTTAAATACAGCATGATCTTAGAATATATATGAGGCGCGACGCGAGAAAACCGGTCTTAATGACATTTTTTTCGAAATTTTGTTTTTAACTAATTATTGTAGATATTTTTTTTCTGCATAAGAGAGTGAAAACCGTTTTAAGATCAAAAGATTAATTATCGAGATATGCCGATTTAAAGAACGTCATATATTTGAACACTTTGTTATCAAATGACGTCGAAAAATTAAATTGACGTTTAACGTTATTACTTGTAGACTTTTAATGCGGCAATTACGTTAATCTTAAATCCACCCAATAATTATGTTTAAACTTTAAAAAGAAGTAAGTAATTAAGTTATGTAAACATTAGACCTCTCGCTAATTGCGATTTTAGTGTTGCTTAGCAACGTTATAAGAACACGCATAAGCGTGTCATACACGGCGTAAACCATTGCCACGTTATATTCCTTCAATTTGGACAAAACATTTCAACATCCTTACGGGATTTTTTCAAAATATATACTGCCTGAAAAACAAATATTGCAGACCACGAACAGAAGGCGTTGTTGGGTTTTTATATGCACTGATCGCATAGGTTTAATCCGTTGCCGTCAGCGGGCACCTTGTTAGGCATATACCAAATACAAAATGTACAAAGAAATAAATAAACAAACAATAGCGTATATGTCTACGTATTTTGAACATTATTTATTTTTGCGGCTATGGCAAAACTATAGACAGTTAAATAAAAAGCTCCATTTTTTCTTTACAACAGAAAAATGTAGAAAATTGTAAAATATTAAATAATATCGTATTATGAACATAGAAACAATGGTGATAGTTTTAAACTACAAACAAAAGTTCTGTGGATACTTAAGTCAGCACTTGGCAGTTATAACAGTGCCCCTTAATCACTGATAATATGACTGACTGTCTTGACTGACAAACGCTCGCACACTTCGCGACAAATATCTCTTACGCTCTGATGTCATTCCCCCGGGCGTAATAACCCTTGGACGGGCACATGAACTGAACCGGAATCCGGGTTCTTTCAAGACTTGGATCAAATGTTCCTCGCCTTCAGGTGTTTTTCTCGCCATTACCACTCCCGGTGTGTCCGACTGGAACCGGAAATGCTGGAATTTTCTATCAATAGAAAAATGATAAATATCCGTTATGACAAATGCAACAAACTTATTTCCTAATATGCATCTATAAATAAAAAAAATAAACATTTTTCAGAGCTTATTTAGAATTATTTAAGTTAAAAGAACGGTAGAGCTTGGAAAGCTCTTACATAGCATGACCGTTAACTTGGTCACGCGGCAGAAAAAAAATTGTTTAAAGAATTTTATTTACGTTAAAGTGTATTAAGGTGGAGGATATATGCGACGAATTCGTCTGCATAATATTTTGTTCCGGAACATTTTACATGTATCCTGTTTTATAATAATATAAATGTGGAGACATTCTATGTGACAACTCTTTCTTTCATTTTTTCATGTGTAAAGTATTTTATTAGATATAGCTTATAATTTTTAAAAACCATTGTGTAAAATCAAAGAAAAAAATACTAGTAAACGATTAATAGAAACAACACACTCTTAAATTTTCATGTATAAGATATTTTCTTTTTCTATGGTTCAGGAACGTAGAGTCTGGATTTGTGAGTTAACAACATTTTTATTTGAATGAGATAAACATAGTTTACCTTATACCAATAATTGGTTTGAAAAATCTCTCTAGAAAGGGTTTCCATTGCCGCCATGACCACTGAGGGTAACATACAGCACTGTTGGTTGTAGATGATTTCTCTGTTACATCGGCCAGCTGTTGAAGAGTTTCTACATCATGCCTCCGGAATTTAATTTTTAGATGTGCAAATCCCGCATCAACTAAACACCTCGCATGTCCTTAAAAGAAAATATAAATCATTTTTAATATGGAAAAGCCTTACCTATTGCGATTTAAAAGGAAAAAACATAAATAATTATGCTTTTGAACAAAACTACGGTGTTCATGTTACATATATTTTGTCCTTGGCGGAAAACATATAAGATTGTCAAAATATGTTTAGATTGCCCAGTTACTAGAAGTTAGAAAAGAATCTAAGTAATTAAGATTTCTTGAATCAGTACCTGGTACTTGCATATGATACTCGATCTTTTCATTCTGTCCTGTCATAACGCGCCACATAAAATATCCAATAGTGTAACGGTTTTTATTTTGCCCTGAAATATAAGGCATGCTAGTTAAAATATAGTTCAATTAATTTGTATGTTTAGTAATTTATTGAGCAATAGCAATTGAGTTATATACAATAAGTCTTTTAATTGTGAAGAAAATAGTAAGACTGATATTTTTAACTATGTACAGACATGCATTTAATTGCATTACTAGTATTGATACTGCAGTACCTAGTGCATATTTATTTTGCAAATACTGCATAAGTACTGTCACACACAAGATATGCTGCCATTTGTACTGGTACTGAATAACTGCTCAAAATGTTGTACTGGTACTGCATTTGGCACTACTTTGGATTTCATTATTAATTGGAAAAGAACATTTTTATAACATATATTGTTCTATTTAATGGAAAGTTTATACTTTTACATTACGGACATTTTGTTGTGACAGTCTGTATGCAAACTAAGTTAAAATCCCTTAAATGTAAAAGTACTGGTATTTATTTGCCTTAAAACTAAACGTACTGGTACAGCAGTACTGGTATTTCTCCTGATATTACATAAGTTGAAACTGGTTCTGGTATTAATTTTAAAAAGTATATATATCGCAAGTATTAATATAATTTTATATCTGATCGTCAAGTTGGTAGTTAAGGTGATATAATTAACCGCATTGTAAATATTTTGTTAAAATAAAAATAATTACCAGGGCAATTATCCGAGTGTATCGACAAGGCAGGAGTCTGATTAGCGTGATTCTGCAATGCCCAGTCTACCATCGACAGCACAGCGTCAGGTCCGTGTGTCCCTTTACCATCTGGACCTATGGTTTGATCTTCGTCAATCAGGAAGTTGAGTTGGTGAGGGATGCCATCCAGTCTTACTCCGAATATTTGTATTTTACGTAGGGTTAGAAAGTATAATGGACCCATCTGGCGAGAAAAATGAGGCAAACTGACGTTCTGACTAAAGTCAAATGTAAGATGGACAAACTTTTCCTCCGAGTCACGTGTGTCAACACTACGCCGTATGCACTCATTATACAGATCACGTTCCTATAAAATTACAAAACAAAAACATCCAAAGTAAAACATAATTTTAACTTCTTAAAACAACGATCTTAATATTCAAAATCATAAGAATCATAATATTGTCGGAATAGAAAGCACATGCATTTTTTTTTCAATTCTTTTCGTGCATCGAGTCTTATTTGTTATTATAAGATATGCTTAGAAAATAATTAATAATTCATGCAGGTCAAATATCTGTTTAAATTATTTATAAGTGTGAAGTTACATTATTGTTTTTTTCTATCATTACCTTTTGTGCAAGAAGTACGTGGTCCCGCAGTGCCGTCGTTGTTTCTAGTGTCACATCCTCAGTCACTGTACCTGATATTTGTCTGCGCAGCTTCTCACAAGTGGCACATACATCATCTTTTGGGCTAGCTATACGTATATGCGGTAAACATGTCCGCCAGATGCCTTTGAATGACGTGAGCTCTAAAGCGCGTACACGGGGATCTGAACAAGACTGTTTGTACAGCTGATGCATGTCTTTTTTGGTTGTGTCAGACGTCAGATACACTGGTGGGATGTTGTCCAGGCAACGAGGGGCTGCAGGTTGAGGGAGACCTCTTTCTTCTGCATAATTTCGGATGAAATAAACAACGCGTATGACATCATCATACGTAATAGCATGCTTTGGTTTTTTACCTGCGTTGCCATGCTGTCTTGGAGTAACGCCGTGATGACTGACATGTTTAACAATGGCTCCTAATGCATATTTCGTAATGTCATAACATAACATGAATGTTCCTTTGCACACCGTTTTTCCTGACACCCGAAATGTCTTCCTAGAACGCTGCCTTTTTTTGCCACGTTTAGTTTTCTCGTCGTTTCCCTCAGCCACTAACGACATGATACACAGTTCTTTCTCCTCCTTTGTCATTTCCCTGATAGAAAGAATATGACTCAGTATGTCGTCAAATTTAAACTTTGTATGACAATTAAGACGACAACCACAACCTTTTATAATAAATTGTCTTACTGTCTGTGTATCATCAGATGTTTCACAAATGTCCTCCTCACTACTATTACTATCCGTTCCATCATGATCAGACTGACTATTCGCGGTGGTGAAGTCTCTTGCTCTTGTAGCTACGAGTTCGGCCTCGTCATTCTCGCAATCTTCAGCGCATTCTCCTTCATCAGAATATTCTGAGTCGGTATTATCTCTCGAAAATTCTGTGGTTTGAGAGTTGTTAGGAGTCCTTCCAAAATGATCCGAGTAAAGGGATTCAAGATCCTATAAATGAAAAAAAAAAAAAATAAAAATAAAACGAATAAAAATGTTAGCTTCAGCTGGGATTCGAACTCGATTCGTTTGCGTGACAGGCCACTGCATTATCCACTGAGCTATACACTTATCAGTTCTGAAGTGGAATTATAAATCAATATTTTAATCTAAAAAACATTTTTTACTCCATGATGACTTAGCATATTTGGACATAATTATTACTTTCCTATTTTCTTGCAACAATTTTCAAAATGAATTATGAATTACGAGTTTTAATTTAACTTGCGACTGATTAGATTATTCTTAAAATAATTTGCCGATAATATATGAATTATGAAAACAAATGCTCAATACAAAACTGTACAGTTAAAATCAAAACAACGTAAATTCAGATCTAAATTTATTCTATATAAAGGCACCGCTCAGAGTTGCCAATTCTTATTCTTTTGTATATTGTATACTTAGATCTAATGTAAGTATACTGTAGATTCTTTACTGTTTACAAACGTCGGTGTACTACCAACAATAAAAGATTATCAATGCTATGCTCCGATTATAATTTATAAACATGAAAAATATGTTTTTTGTTGTTGATTTTCATCAATTATACATAATACACACTTACTTCTAATTCCTCCTCCATATTTAAATGTTTCCTCTGAATTCCAAAGTCAATACACTTTTTAAAAAAATCAATAGCACACGATAAACAGTATTTCCGTATTTACATGTGTAATACGCAACAAGAGTGACGTCATTTAAATCGCTGTAGTGCACATTTATTGTCGTGTCATTAAGACCGGTTTTCTCGCGTCGCGCGTCATATATAAAAAAAAACAGAAACATTTTAAGCGAACACAATTTATGTCTCGAGATTACTTTTGAATTTTGTGCCCAAAATTTGTAAAATTTGCGTCGATATTTTAAATCTTAGGACATATTCAATACTTAAAATATCTATAATGTCAACAAATATCATACATGTATCTAACTTATAAAACCAATATCAGAATCAGATAAAAGACCTTGATGTATATTATTATATAAAACGGAAACTGTAAAAATTAAAACAAACGAACTAATAATAAAAACAAATATTATATAAGTTACGTGACTATACATTTAATTTATACAGCGATAATAAAATGTCCTTAAATATTTTATATCAACAACATACAAGAAACATCAAATAAACACATACAAAATATACAAAAAGTATAATGTAAATTTACATTACAAATAATCCAAAATCAAATTACCGTTAATACTAAAATTATGAAGGCGAATAGAAATTTTAGATATATAGAGGATATTCAAGTTTTTTCTATAAATACAAGATTTATTTTCATCGAGTGGTATGAAAATAAATATTTCATGAGTGGCGGTAGCCACGAGTGAAATATGGTAATTTTCATGCCACAAGATGAAAATAAATCATGCATTTATAGAAAAAACTTGAATTTTCTGTTTATTATATACATTTTCTCTTTTTTGCAATAAAGTTTGAAAGACTTTCCCTTAAATTTTGTGTACTGGCAGAATTTAAAAGAAAGTAGTCCGGCAATACACCAGTGAAAATACGGAAAATATGTTTCACTGCAGTGAAAAATAAATTTTTACAGTGAAAATACGGAAAATGAAAATACGCAATTTATTTCATCAATATTTCTCAATATTTCATTTATAAGTATATAATAAATGACATTATTTCAAGCACGCATGATCTATCACTATAAAATGAACAAAATAATGACACCTCAAAGACTATCTTGACTTTAATCAGAGGTAAACGTCAGTGACACCATAATCTAGTTATGATTACGTTGTTAACAACAGCAAACACGATACATTAGTAATGAATACTCACATTAACATGAAAATGTTTACAATAATCAAAAATAAATATACAAACAACAATACTAACTACGTTTATAACAACAAGACAGTTTAAACAGCAACTCGTATACTAACAATAAACTTTATATTTTTTTTTTTTCTACATTTGTCTGCACTATACAACATGTCATGATAGCTCGCACACGTAATGTTAGTATTATTTAATTTGTTGGGAAAGATATTTATATTTCATTTCCTTATTCATCAATACTCATCAATATAACGTATATTTCTATACTTTATTCAACAAACCTATTCGTGTTATTCAAATATATCTTCCTTAGAAACAATGTACACACAATTTTGTAATTTTTAACTTTTTCGGAAGCGTTTATTCTTTTGATTTGCACCTTGCGATCATCTTTCGAAGAAGACATCCATATTTATACATAGTATCCGCTTTCTTTTTATCGTCGTCCACAATGGTCATTTTTGTATCCAGAACAATAATTGGTCTTTTTGCCTGTGGCGAAAAAGCAGAAAATTTAATGATCTTAATTTGTATAAATGAAACAAGAGATCATAATAAAAGTTTAAGTAGTCTTAAAAAAGCCATAATCTAAATGTACCACATCGAGAAAGTCAGTATACTGTTTGTTTAATGTCTGATACACACTAATGGCTAAATTAAATCTAGGAAAATTACAATAAATAACTTTTAAGAGCATCCCTTTTACTTTAGAAAGCTAAAGAAAGTCATTGCGTGTGTATGTGTTTACTTTTCGTAAAACAAAAACCTGCTCAACGTAACCTTTTGTAATAAAAAATACTAAAATTTAGAACCCAAATGTTATCGCCTAACTAGGCTCTATAAAACATGTTCTTAATGGCATAATAAGAAGACAACGAAAGTAGAACCAAATAAGCATCAATTTGAAATGTGTATATAATAAAGTATTATCAGATAGATTTGCATTAATTTTGAGCCATACCTTTTTGTTTCTGTATCGGATAAAAATGTTGGTTTCTGAAAGATTCTCAACGGTTATAGATGAATTATGAAGAAGATCTAGATAATTGGCAAGTTGATAAGATATTGCAGTTACACTTGCTACAGACATGTTTTCATCAAGCAAATCCTTTATCATTCTTGTCTTCCCACCTGGCACAAGTTCTCGTTTAGTTCTAACCGATCGACTAAAATCTGTGTACTGCAAGATAGCCGAACCTCTTTCTAAAAAAGAGATTTTTTATAATTCATTTTTTTTATCTTTTAAATAGGTTTTAACATTCCTCGTTATCTAATCAAAATTGTGCAGATTTTCAGAAAAAGTAGGTGCTTATTCACTAGATAGTTTTAAAGTTCTGAAGGAGCGTGTAACAGAATGATACTGAATGCAATCTTGCATTTCTAAATTCATAAAAAATGAATTAAATTTGCTGCAAACGTATCTAACTATAACGCGACAGTCCGAAAAAATCCAAAAAGATAAACGATAAAGTGGTAAACGGTCATTTTAAAGTAGCATTTTAAATGACAATCATTTTTGTCCGGTTGACGACGCAAACATGTGCTAGAAAAAAATTAAACAAAATTAAAAAGCTGTATACATATACATAAGCAAACTGCGGAAAATATTTGTTATGGTACAAGCGGTTCTGGTCGGATGACTTCTCACGCAAATCATTGTTTCAAGTACAACTGTATGAAAATATAAGTAAGTGCAAAAGGTGAATAATGTGCAGAGTGACTATTTCTCTGATTTTACATACTGCAGCTTATTCTTACAGACATAAATTGGTACGTTTGCATAAAATATGTACAAATGACTGTGGCAATAAGGTGATGTCACGTATGTTAACGCGCTTCGAGTACCACAGAGTACTGATGTTAAATGTTTTATTAAAATTCTTCAATATGTCTAAGTTATATTTGATTAAAATGTCAGTCGTGTATCTGGTGACGGATTCATTTTTTATTAGAAGTTTAGGTATCTGGTGATGGATTCATTTTTTATTAAAAGATTAGGTAATAAAGCAAATACCCCTCTCTTAAACATTTGGCACACGTGTCATGTCTTGAAACATTGTTATTTAAATATGATTTACAGATCTTTTGTTTTTCATCATGAATTTTTAAGATCTTGCTTTTCTTTGTATCACAATATATGGATATTGTCAGGACGTCTTCTAAATTGAGACTTTCTTTGAATAATTGCATGTGTTCAACTAAAAATTCCAACAACTCTTTGAGTTTCTATGAAGCATGACGATTATACCTATTTTCACGTATTTTATATATTATATTTTGTGCTTAAAAGTCAATAAAAAATTCCTG